TCGTACATTTTTAAGAGAAAAAAATTAATTACTTCCGTTTCCGGTGTTAAATCGTTTTTAAAATCTGTAAGTGTCATTATGTGAAGATGCATTTTTAATACAAAATCTTTCGTTAAGTGATTTTTTTAGTTATGGCAGGTGAATTTAATTGACTAAAAAAAATGTATATCTAAATTTTGAATAGGGTCAAATAGATAATTTATATTGTGTCAGTTATTAGTGTTACTCAAGCAATGTTATGGGAAGGTTGTCATAGAGACCGATCCAAAAATAAATATGTAACATATTTAATCGATTAATAGAAAAATATCGATTATTTGATTGATAAAAACGAGTGATTTTTGCACTGATTTATTCAGAAATATGCGCTTAAAAATTATATTTATCGTCCACATATCTGGATATAAAACGTCTAAATAGAATATGTTGTTTAGTAAGGAGTGTTTTTTAAATGATGATTCTGAGAAAAGTGTTTTGCTTGAACGTAATTCAAGTTGTATATTAACGAAAATCGATAAAGATGCACCTGTCTTGTACTGAAAAACATCTTTCTCGTCGAACAAGTTAGTTTTCTTAATTTCATAGGCATTATCTCATTAAATTTTTATTAATTTTGGAAAATAAAGTTACAAGTTACTAAATTCAAAATGTGATTCTGCTCTAAAACTATTATTAAAGTCTTTTTCACTCCTATTTCAAGTCATGTTGATCTGAATTATTTAGAGATCAAAGCCTTTACTTTAACAAATTTATGAAATTCCGATAATACGTACAATAATACAGAAAATAATTATTTGATAGTTTTAAAACGTGTTCTAGATTAAAACATGCAATGATATGACATGCAAAAATTGCATTAAAGCGTACAGTACATAAATTATATTATATTTACGATAAAAAATATAATTTAATATATTTTATTTCTATAAATAAGTTAAATTATTTTATTAGCATAATTAATATAGAGAAATGCAGCAAAAAAAACCCTATCCGAATATTATTAATTAATTATATTGCTACTAAGTAAGACTAAACACTTCAAAATTCTTCTCTTCTTGTATGCATCAACAATGATAAGTCAAAAATACATTATTATATTAGAAACATTAATGATCTAACACAATTATTCTATTTTTTATAATGGAAAATGATGTTACTTTAGCACGGCAATGATCAAAAAATAAATAAATAAAACTGCAAACACGGTAATTTTTTTGTAGTTTTTTATTTAATATTTTACATTTACATGAAAAATATTCATGAAATATTCCTATTTTAAATAAAAATGGCGATTCTTAGTACAATTGAAACTAAAGCTTAATTATTTTTGAAGTTTCAATTGAACATTTGGGGATTGGTCATTGCATTTGTCACTTTTTTTTTTTTTTAAATTGGTGAACTTTAGATAAAAGTTTTGCCTTTAAATTACTCATAAATTTTCTTACAGTAAAATAATAACCATTTAATCTAAATATAAAGTATATCTTTATGAAAAAGTTTTTATCTGAGACAATTTAAATTGTAATAAATTATCCTGTCTTAAGGTATGTTGTTATAACAATAAGAAAAAAGTAACTAAAATTATTTTCAGTATTAATTATATTTAATTTTACTTTCTAAATACGAAGTTAAATTTTTACAGATTTTAAAGATTAAGATATAAATAATTTTATCATTAAAAACATGTAATTTCTAGAATTATTTCTAGAAATTCTATTTTTAATACTAATTTTATATGGCAAAAAGACAAGGATTTAAATAATTTTTATATTAAAGTATTAAATGTTTAAAATTATATATTTTACAATTCAGAATAAACAGAAAAAAAAAACAAAAACATTAGCAATTCAATTAAACTATTATAGTCTTGAAAATGGCCTTATTAATAAATACTAAATTACAAAACCTTATCAACATCACCTTTTTTTAAATAATGATTAAGGAATAATGTATAAAATGATTAAAAAAAACAATAATAAAATAATACTGTTATTTCTTTATAAAATACACACAATCATGTATTAATTATTTAAATTTTTTTTACTACAGTTACAATGTTATATTTTTATACGGTTTTAAGTAATGTTTAACCTTGCTTTAATTCAATTAAATTGCTTTCATTTAGTACTTTTAATTTATAAATTTATTTTTATTCAATCAATTTATATTTTCTACGCAAATATATATATATATATATACTGTATAGATAAATATACACTTTAAAAAATATTTTGGTTTCTTTCAGACATTTATATTTTTATAATACTAAATATTTAATAATTTAATCAGTTTATAATATTAGAGACGTATATATAGTTCTAAACTATATTTTACTAATATTTATAATATTTTTCTTGTTATATACGAATACAACCGATGTATCATCGTAATTTGAACTATTACATAGGATTTATGAAAATAAACCAATCAACATTTCCAAAGTTCGTACATTTCAATTCCAAGGACCAATTATTTCAAGGTAGACCTTGAAATAATTGGTCCTTGGAACTGTTTATCGGCTTGTTTTTTTTTTTTTTATTTCAGGTTATACTTTTGCCTTAAATTTCCTCATTTTGTTTTCGTTTTACTGATTAGATATAATTTATAAAAGTAAATTAATCTTAAGCGGAATTTACAACGCGCTCGCATTGTTCAGTTTTCAATATCTCTTTTACACAAAAATATATTCATTCTACATGTTTATGGAACTTTTTAAAAAATATTCACCGAAATCTTTTTTGCGTGTGCAAATATATTTGAGATTTTTTTTTATTATTCGAATACATTTTTATATACAGTATGCATTTTCCGCCATCAATCTCATTCTTCAACGTACTGTACAGATAAGAAAAAGTAGAGAAGAAATAAATATAAAATTATATAATAAATAAATAATTTTTAATTTTATAATAATATTAATAAGATAATTATTTATATAATAATAATTTTTTAAAATATAACGAAAATTTCCATTGCCAAACATAAAAATAAATTTTACCGTTAGGGGGACATCGAGTAAACCGAGCGTTGGACGGAATGATAAGTGTTTTCTAGAAGGTCCTAGAAAAATATTTTTTTGGGATATAAAATATTCAAAAGTAAGTTATTTGACGCTATAATATTTACTTTATATTTGTTTATGAATACTTTCAATGCTTAAAATAATCTAATACGACTTTATGATGTTAATATATAAGGGAAATAATTATGTATTTTGTAATAATGCCACAAAATATTTCACGTGACTTTTCAATTTCCAGATTTTTGCATTATTTATTTATTAATAAACTGCTACCGGTACCCTGCTACCTCTCGTTTTACCTAAAATTTCTTTTTTATTTTCTTTAAATGTAATGGCGATTATTCATCAGTGATTGATGCAATCTGGCTTTAGTTTACATTATGAAAAATTAGGTAATTTAACCATTATATATGAAATTAGGCTACTTTTTTCTGTAATACGTTTGCATTTATCTCTTATTTATATCAAAACGTATTTACAAAAGTGGAATTAAATCTATGTCATCGGTTAATGTTACCCTAGGTATCGAAGATGTCGGCGGTAACTAATTTGGTCGGTGCTTCCGGTCGCCATCTTGTTTGCGCATGCACGCGTGCAAACAAGATGGTGACCGTCGACAATAACCAAAACGCGCCTATATTTAAACTTTTTTTTTCTAACTAAAACATTTTAAAAACGTAAATTTGCTACTTACTTTTTCCCGCGCTTTTGGTTTCATTTCCTACTTTTGGACCGGAGACGAAAAATAATAAAATCACCATATTACCTGAAAAGCATCGATAACTGGACGTAGTGAATTACGAGATTGGATACATCAGTGGTTCAAACAGGATTTGCCTGGAGTGCAATTTCAAACTTATGCAGAACTGACTGCAGCCTCAGTGGCTCGCTGTTTCAGCCGTGCTTTCACGCAGCTGAAGCATACAAATATAACATCACCTAGATTATGAACAGTAAAGGATGAATCACTAACCTCCGGGTGGTCCGTTGGGAGCACGGACAGTCAAACATCACTTAGTGGAAAACTTAAACGGCGTAGAATGCATTGTGAAAGACAAGTTTTAACCGACAGATAAACAGTAAAAACAATTGGCCAAATTTTCTACTCGTTAACTTTAAAAAAAAATTGTACAAACTTTAAAAAAAACACAAACACCATTCAAAAAGATAACAACATGCGCTGTCCGTCTACACCAGCGCTGTCCAACTTATCATAGCCCGCGGGCCATATTTTCTTCACCAAACATTTCGGGGGCCAAGAATGTTGCTGCTGTATTCAGCCAGGTTAAGTGAAGTTACGCAAACTAAATAGTACCTACTTTAAATTCAAATTAGATTTAAATTTTCACATAGTAAAATAATTTTAATATTAATAATAATAATTTAGTAACATAAATTTATTCATAGTAAAATGTACTCGGGGGCCGTAAAAATTATTTGGCGGGCCGTATACGGCCCGCGGGCCGCCAGTTGGACAGCCCTGGTCTACACTATAACCAAACTCAGTTTGCATAATTCCTCGTGTTTTCCGAGTGGAAATTTTTGAAGAAAATTTGCGTACGAAACCGTCAGTATGATAAGCCATTTCATTTCTAAACACGCATGCCATCGAGGTTACTGGAAGCACTGCCATCTTCGATACCTAGGATAACATTAATCTTGTCATCATATGATGATTGGTACCCCAGAATTGTAGACTCCTTGTATGAGCAAAGGAACCATACCTGTACTTGTGACCCTTCACAAGATATTCACTTCCAAAGGTTGGTTTTTACCATGTGTCAATACTACTGCCTATTCTCCATACTCCGTATCGCTGCTCACTATCATTCTCACCTCAATGCTCGTGTGGGCGGGAGTCCCACACCTCCATAAAACTATATAACGTCACATACTCTACAAACAATAAGGTGGGCCACTCAAAGCCAGCATAGTCATGTAGGCTAAATAGTTAAATGCGATAGTCTTGACAGAATAACACAACTGCCGATGGTGTGCGATCTAGAAATAGGCCAATTTTGGAGGCTGTATCTCGCAAAGGGTCAAATGTAGAGGTGTGGTTTTTCTGACTTTTTTGTTTTTATGGATAAGGTCTGCAGCTTTAGTAAGGTCCCAACCGTTCGGAGGTGTAATTGTACCATTTTGGTAACTTAAGCATAAAATATATAAAAGTACAGCAAAGATTATCAAGTAAAAATGTATTTATTCCCAGTTTCAGTTTTTAAGTCAAGGCTAAGAAGTAAGATCTTGTTTTCTTTGATATTGCTTGTCTTTTTAACCATTTAAAAAATTTTTTATGCTTACCACAAACAAAATTTAATGCTTTTGTTTTATATTATATAAACTCAAAACTCTGTACTTTATTGGCGCTTACTAACTTAAATTATAATCACTTTGTCAAATATTTTTAATCAAGCCCATCATTATGATGAAACATCAAATTTGTTTTTTTTTTTTTCTAAAATATAAATTTGTGGTTGGTTATCATTTTGCATATAAATTTAAATAAATAAAATTATGAAAATATATTTAAAAAGTTTTTTTAATTTCCTTTCTTCCATATTTAGTTGTCTTAGAATGTGATGAACTCATTGATAAAATTTTGTCCTGTTTAAGAGTAGATTATTTGTCTTGATTTTTGAATTAAAAATTAGACTTTTTTTATATATTTATAAAAAGTATAATCTTAAAAACCTTAAATCAAATGATACTGTCACATTCAGACTATAAACTGGTTGTCAAGAGAAACTGGAGATTTTTTCCTGGACCTGGAGAAAACTTAGTGGTTTGTTCTCCTATAAATTAATATTATTTTACTAACAAAAAATAAAATCTTTGACTGCTAGTTGTTGATAAAGAAATATTCTATATGTACTTCATTTGTTCAAAAAAAGGAGGAGACAAAATGATCTCAACTCTACCCATGGAATAGTACTAAGCTTATGAAATCCTGTTTTTAAATCTTTATAGTATTTTTTGTATAAAATTTAAAGAAGCAAAAGGTTTATTTAAAAATAAAAACATTGAAAGAAGTGATAAAATTAAAATCTTAAAATGTAGACTAAAATGTATAGGAATTCATGAAAATAATTTAATAATAAACAGGAATTCTGAAGCTGTTCTTAGAAAATTTTTTGACTACTGAAATCATATTCTCATTCGTTAAATTGTTATATTTTGATATACTATAAAAATATAAATGTAGAATAATTTTTTTAACATTAATTAAAACACCGATAATATTTATTTAATATAAATATTGATTTAATTCACCAAAGACTAAATGCATAATTTTTTTATTTGTAAATTGGTTTTTATTTGAGATATATTTTTCGTTCATACAATGTAATACAAAACTTTTAATTTTAAATTACAGGTAGGCCTCCTACAACGCGGTACCTTTAGAACGCGTTTTCACTCCAACGCAGTTGGAAAAATGCAGAAATTTTCTTACAACGCAGTTTACGATATTTAGAAATGAATTATCTTTCACATAACAGAAAAATCGCAACGGATCACGTAATACACGCCGCAGTTCAGTGTACAGAGCTAAATGTCCTTGAAAATAGCTGTTTGTCCATGTTGACTTGCTATTCCCATGAAAGTTTCAGGGGAAGACCAGTTTCTAGACAGATGTGCATCAGTTACCATAAACACTCAAATATATCACTGAACTTTCGATAATTTATACTCTTTCAATAGGTGGGGACTGCAAAAGTGGTCCAAAATACAGTGTAAACTTCTATTGGGTGTATATTTTTAACAACATAGTGAAGGGAAGTTATTTTTTTCGATTTTTACTGTCCACAAAACTGCTTGAAAAAATTTTAGCCATAACAATGTTGAATGAAAAGAAAGGACCGTCGTTAAAAAGGAAATTTATATCTCTTCAAACAAAGATAGAAATTTTGGATCAAATTAAAAATCAAGAGCGGATAGCTGATATTGGTAGGCATTTTAATTTAAATGAGTCAACTATTTGGTCGATTAAGCAATAGGAAGAAAAGATTAAGAATTCGGTCGCATCCAGATCATCTATTCTTGCGAAAAATGTTGCTCGTCTGAGGGCACCTATAATGAAAAAAAAATGGAACAAGTGCTAATATTATGGGTAGAAGATATGAACAAGAAACGGTTGCCTTTAAATAAAAGTGCAGTTAAACACAAAGCCTTAAAAATATTTGATTATTTAAAACAAATGGGACAGTCGTCAGCTGATGAAACCAGTGTTAAATTCGTGGCTAGCAATAGCTGGTTTGAAAAATTCAAAAAACGCCATTCAAACACTAAGTTTTTCTCTTTTTAGAACCAAATCCCAGTTTTAGTATTAAGTTGGTGTCTCCTATAACGCGATTTCTCACAATGCGGAATTTTCAAGGAACGTATCTACTGCGTTGTAGGAGGCCTACCTGTATTTATACTTTAAGAAATCAGCATTTATATCTGTCTAAATCATAGTACAGTGTGTGATCAGTTAACAAACATAATCCATTCCAAGACTTTGTTCGCTATCCGAATTGTTTGTTAACCAATTATCGATTTATCATAGGTTTTAATGGGAATTTAATTAATTTGTTCTGGAGACCCCAAAAATAAAAAAAATATATACTTTCTTACTAATTTATTTATATGTAATAATAAAAATACATACATACACAGTCTTGTATTTTTATTAGTCACGTGTTTTCCGTTTGTGGAGGTTAAAAAATCTGTCTAATGCTGATTGTTTTTCCTCTCTTCTTCGGGATTTTTCAGAAATAATTAATAGCATTGTAATTGTAGAAATCCCCAAGCCTCAATCTGGTTTGGATGCCATTCTAAGACCGTTGTTCTGACATCCTCCCAATTCTTCAAAAGATCTTTAATAGCAGATATCGGCATTAATCCTCCTTTTCAAAAGAAAATGTATCTCTCTGAGTTTCTTGGCATTCTTCTGCTGTCAGATCCGTTTCAGTTCCATGAACATTGAAGAGTTCATAATGGAACCTGAAACAGATCTGACGACAGAAGAACGCCAAGAACTCTTGAATGAAGAAATCACATCTGAGAAATAAAGATTTCTCAGATGTGATTTTTGTTACTCCTTTAACTGCTTGAGTCTTCTTGATTATACAGTATCTTTCTTAGATAAGATTGAACTGTGGCCTACTGTAGACCTTTATTATTATTATTTTTTCATTAATTAATTATATTAAAATAACATAAGTTACATTTCCTGATTTCGCTGAGCATTATCAGGATTTAAAAACACTAAGCAATTATGACAATGAATACAGCATAAATAACAAACATTAAGAGCAAAATTGTACAATGATGGGAGGGCAACAAGGATATTAAACAATGGTAGATACGGAGTAATTACATATACAGAGTTTAGAGTATACATCAAAGAAGGCTGCCTTTAGAGCCATCACAGATATTTTTATATAACGTAATATGCATTAGGAAGCCCAAAAGCAAACATCATACATTAAAGTTGATTGAATGGATACAAGTGTAATATACAATATACTCAAAATGAGTTGTAACAGGTTCAGTAGAGCATATAAGAACATAAAATACAGTAACTACTAGAAGTATTTAGTATAGAGCAATGGTTGCAAGCACAATATATATTTATACAAGTAAACATTTTATGATAAACTAAGATAGTTTATCATAAAAATTAGTAAAAATTACAGTAAAAATTAAAAGTAACGAAGATAAAATAAAATTAGAATCAATTAAGTGCAAGTTAACAAATTATAAAAGAAGCAAACAGCAAAAGTGCAAAGATATCATGGATGATACATATCATATAGAAATGAGTATATATACAAACTATAATATATAATAATAAGACAATCTATATATATAACCCATTCAACAGGTGTCTGTCCTTCCGTCCGTCCGTCCGCCCCGTAACCGTTTGATAACCGACACTAGAGGCGCCCCTATCGTGTGTCATATTTCAAACATTCAAATTAAATTAACAATTTTAATTATTATTTAAATTAACAATATAAATTATTATTATTATTCATTTGGCAAATAAATTATTATTTGGTCAATATAACAATATAAATAATTCAGTATATTTGTAATAGGAATTTATTATTGTCACGGAATGCATGTAATGTTCACTAGGGGGCGAATAACGAAAAACCGGATAGGTTTGAATCACTACGTAAGACGATAAGGTTTGAAATAGTTAAGGTAATACAGTATAAGGTAATATTTTAATATTAATTAACCCATTCAATGGGTAATGGCTATTTGTAAATAACGCCCACTAGGGGGCGTCCCAGGCTACTAGTATAGTATAAAGAAGTAACCTGCAAAGCATATGCAAAATAGGGTTAATTAAAAGAGGAGTACTTCAAGCCAGTAGCATTTAATGCTACAGGTCAGAGGGAGTGCTCCACTAAATGTAACGTAGTATAAAAAAGTAACAATCATTTGCACCAAAGTACTTATGTTTCAGCCACAAGAAAATCCACTAGTAGTTGAGCAATGGAAGTTGAACAATGTTCTCAACACCACTGAACTCCGCCAAGCATCTGTGCATAATATTCTGACACAGTAAGATCCATCAGAAGTTGAAGGAATGTCTTTATGCTGCAGAATTTATATTCGCTGGAAGTTGAAGAAACTTTGTCCACAAATATTAAACACACCACATTTATTTCAATAGCAAGGAAACTACTGTAAATCGCAAAAATTTCAACCGCTCAGCTATAAACCAGTAAACACCGAGACGATCATATCACAATGGTGCACCAGAATAGAACACATAATATAATACACAAGTACACCACAAAGCATGGATTGAAGTAGAGTTGATGCAGAAAACAGTCCAGTAGAAAAATGTTCAAAAGTTCCTTCCAGCTTCAGTAAAATCAGGCAATTACAATAAAGGTAATAACGTGTATTAAGTTCAAACACGAACTGTTGTAGCATGACAAAAATATTTCCACCAGGTATTACCACAGAGAAACAGTGGCAGTGCATCAAGTATATCTCCACAAGTAGAAACCACAGAATTACCCAGAGTGTCAGCCACAAGAAAATGTACACAAAGATGTTAAGTATACTACTGCACCAACTAAAGTCCAGCAAACACAATAACAACCTATATTCTTAAAGTGGTATGGCGTTATCACAGTGTGCAGTCCAATTAGTAGTATACGTTCCCACTAATCGCAGTAAAGTCCAGAAGAAAGTGAAAAAGAATTTAAGTGACATTTATTCTGTAGATGTAGACCTGTTAATCCATACTGCCCAGCAGCATTAGGCATCTTCTGTCCACCTTTGCTATTATACTCTCACCTTTCGAAAAGAAAAACAGACGCAAAACTTAACGAGTGCCTACCCGACAGTCTCACGAATACATAAAAGAATTGTTTTTGTTAGAAAAATAAAAGGCTGGAATTACAAGGGAGAGTTTCAAAGTTCAGAGGAATACTATCCGATCAGTATATACCAGGTTGAGCGTCAATGTCGACGTCTCCCTCACTCCAAAATGTTTTGAATTGTTGCCTGAAGACAAGGGAAGACCAATCGGTATTCATTATTTTACATCACTTCTTTTTGTGTTTGTTCTGTAGGGTGTTTGTTGTCTGAACATAAAAATCTTTCGCGAAAGTGTTCGTTATCCGATTTGTTCATTAACCGATCACCCACTGTATTTTTAAAATGAGTTTTCTTTGTAGTGTATGAATCTTACCTTAAACATATTGATTCAAGTTAACGTTTAAATTATGATAATTTTTAAACAAAACTGTAATGTAGTCTGCTTTTAATAGTGTACATTATATACATATAAAAGGAGATAATGTAAAAAAGTAATATTACTTATTTTGATATTGTGATAAAATATTTATTAAAATAAAATCAACAATTTGATTTTTTAAAGAACAATATCATAATTTTTCATTTCTTTAATCTTTTTAAATTATTTTTCAAACTTTTCAGTCAAACTTGTTGAAATTTGATTAGACAGATTTTATTGCAAAGTATAAATAGTAGTATGTTGTGATTATAAATATGTATAAATGAAAATCAAGAATTGTAAACTTTATAATATGCATCCTGATAGTAAATACAATAAAAATCAAAAACATTTGTTTTCTTTACTTGTGTTTATTAAATTAAAATTCTGTAAATTTTGTATTGCAGGTTTTTAAATTTCATTTACTTCTTATTTTATTTACTTTAATAATCAATTTTTTAATTACATGTTATAATCATTCATACTGACTTCGGGAAATTTTACACTGTAATAATACTTTTATTTTTATAATCTTTGACTTAGTATTGCACATAGTGTACAACAAATATCATTTTCATTTTTATTGATGTCATTTGAATTGTCAGATTCTATTACTAAATTACTATCCATTTTAACATAACTTTTGTTCATATGCTCTTCTGACTGATTCACTTCAAAAAATTTTCAATGATCTTTGAGAGGTTTTAATAATATATATTAGCTATAAATATTAGAGATTTGAAATATATTTATTATGATTTTTAAAAAATTCAATTTTTCTAATATATGAAATAAATAATAGTAATTTATAATATTTATGTTATATTGCAAATTTGTAAAAGTTTTGTCTCGTTTGATATCTTTTCTAGATTAATTTATCATTATGAGTGAGACATCTCAAGAAAATAGAGAAAATAGTTCCACTCCTCAAAGGAGAGGGCTTCAACCTGCTTTGGTAATATTTTTATATGTTTATTATATATACATTAAATACACAATGAATAATTTGCATTTCTTGTTAGAATAAATACTCTTTATTAATCCTAATTATCTTAAAATTACAAATTTAAAGTATTTAAGCTTTACTAGTCCTGGGCTGCACTTGAAAGACAGTTTGCATAACTCTTTATTTAAGCTTCGTGAATTTATTTTATGTTAGTTGAATAATCATTTATTTTTTAATTTCTATTTATTTTAATCTTTTTTTTATACAAGGATTTTTATTTGATATCATTATCAACTCCTTTGAATAATAAACTAGTAAAATTCAAACTCCTTTGAAAAGCTCATTACATTGGTCTTGTTTAATAAATATTGAATGAAATTGATGATTTCAAGTTGGTATTTGATATGAAGATGAATAAATTTCTTGAAAGTATTTATCAAATTTTGCAGAAAAGACATCTACAAAGTAAGGAAAGCTCTTTATTTTTATAGTTTATTATTTCTTTCTCCTCTTCCCTTTTTTTTTTAGTCCATTTTAGTTGTTAATTCATTGCTTATAAATTTTTCTTATATGATATGAAACTTTCAGACTTATAAGCTGAACACTAAATTTTCAGAGGCCCAATTTTTGGAAATGCTTGAGTAGTGGGTCCTATTATTTCGACGACGAGCTGTTTGTCTGTTTGCTATATACTCACCAAGTTTCGTTCGAATCGGAGACCTAAACATCTGGCCCTCCCCTTTCTAGCAATAGGAATTCGCATAGGAATTTCTTTAATGAATAATTCTGAACAACACATTTGATCACAATGTTTAAACAGTATTTCTCAGGTTCTGTCATGTCAAAATTTTTGTTTTAATCTAATGAAAAAAGATCAAAGTGAAAAAAAGTCATTCCAAAACATTCTCCAAAATTTCTGTTGATAGATAAAAAAATCCCAATCTGGAAACGCTAGGCAGCATTGCATAAAACTACTTTTGCTTCTCAACATCACTTTTTACTTTTCTTCCCGAATTTGCTATGTGTAGCACAGGACTCCCATTGTACAAAGCTTGACATTTTGCTATTTTTCCTGAAGTATGATTTGTGATTCAATTTTATGCTGAATGTCAAAACAAGCAGACTAGGATTTTATTACCACTTGCTGTTGCCAGTGTTATATTTTTATTGCCACTTTAATAAAAATATTAACAAGTGGAAATTTTGGCTCTGTGCGGCTCATCCCCTGCACATGCAGTTATTTGCCAAGCATCAGTTTGTTGTGGAACAATGGATTTTTTTGTCCAAGATCAAGAAAATGGACAATTCTCTTGTGCTTCTTTTTTTATAGATATGAGTAGTTCATATCTGTTAATGAAAAATAAGCTTAAAAATGATGTTGGTGGATAGTATCACTTCTTCAAAGCAGAAAAATATCAATGTGAAAAAGAAGGGACTTTTTTAAAAAACAACACAATAAAACTATTGCAAACAAAGACTAAAAAAAAATAATTTCAAAACTAGAAGACTAGATCTAGTTTAAAAAAGACTAAAATAGCAATGCTGATGACCTAAAACAAGATAATACACTAATGTGAGCACAAATATGTGGATGGACATCACAAAGGCATGGAAGCAAATATTCATCTCCTTTGATTCTGCACAATTTACCAACAGGAGTCAGGAAATCGTGAATACTGATCATTCATTGTGAGTAAACAATCTACACTACTCAGTATTCACTAAATGTTTGCTCAGCATTTGGCAAATAGTGAATGTATAGACATGACCTTGCAAAATGATACTGTATAAGAAATTTAGATATATTGGCAGAATGACCTTTTTAAAGTAAAAAGGTCATTTGAAAAAGGTCAATCTGACCTTTTTCAAATTATATAAAAGTTATTAGAGTATCTGTTACTATGATCTGAATAAACAGAGTGAGAATTAATAAAAAAGAAAAAATACAGTAATTAAGAAAAATTAATTATGTGTTTGTTTCTTTTTGAAAAGTTTTCTAAAATATTACAATAAATAAATTTATGTTTTAAATCAGACAAACACAATTTTATTTGGTTAATTTTTTTTTTATATTGGTGTAGTTATTAATAGTTTTAATATTTTTGTATCTCAATGATAATTTGAGTGAAGATTTGAAAGTTTGTTATGCTATATTGATTTTAAACTGGCTATTTAAAAGCTTTTAATATGTAAACTATTTCAGTCTTTCTGAAGTTGTAATTAAACATAACAAAAATACTTGAAGAATGAGAAATTTATTTCATCATAATGTATTGTACATAAAATGATATTCACATTTATAATATTATATAGTGTGATGTATTGGTATTAAGCAAAATTATCACCTTTTTAAATATTCCAGCAAATAATTTAATATTGTAAAAACGTTTTCGATTGTCTTTAATGATCTTTATCAGTTAAATAATAAAGTAAAAAGGTAATTGGTAATTTTTCGTATACAGGGTGCATAGGAAAGTCCCTTTAACTGAAAAATTCTTGCGAACAGAGAGAGCTACAGCCATGCAATTGAGGTAACGGTATAGTAAAGTGATTACGCCCAACCTAATGCAAACGACAGCAGCGCTCCTAGTGGCGAAATTTGGAAGATAGGCAGTGCAAATTGAAAACTAAAACAGATAGAGCAAACTTTTCAATTAGAAAGTTTTAGAGCATCGATTACTTAGTACGAAACAATATGTGTTTCACACGGATAAGATAAATTGTCGCCTGTATACCCAAAAATGTCTGAAAACGATGCACGCTATTTTGTGTAAATATTTGAAAGGAATAGCCATAGGTATGAAGAAATATGCACAATTTATTGCATAAAATACGTACTTACATCAATACAGTTTCATAACATAGCGAACTTTTCGAACATACTTGACATTAACTTGTTATCACTGTGTGACAGTTTGCTTTTCTGTTGTTTTTTTACGTGATGTTATCAAACTGTATTGAAGTAAGTATGTTTTTTATGCAATAAATTGTGCGTATTTCTTCATACCTATGGCTATTCCTTTCAAACGTTTACACAAAATGGCATGCATCGCTTTTGGACATTTTTGGGTATACAGGTGGCAATTTATCTTACCCGTGTGAACCACATGTTGTTTTGTACTAATTAATTGATGCTTTAAAAGTTTCTAATTGGAAAGTTTGCTCTATCTGTTTTCGTTTTCGATTTGCACTGTCTATCTTCTAAATTTTGCCACTAGGGGTGCTGCTGTCGTTTGCATTAGGTTGGGCATAGTCACTTTACTATAATGTTACCTCAATTGCATAGCTGTAGCTCTCTCCATTCGCAAGAATTTTCCGGATAAAGGGACTTTCCTATGCACCCTGTATATATATTCTATATATCATTTTCTAATAAAAAAGTATTATATTGATTCATAAACCAGTTTTGTGAGTAACTTTATTAGAAAACATAACAAATAAGCTAATTATTAAATAACATTTAAATTGTTTTCTATAAATTATTTAAGGAAAACATTTTTGACTATTATGTGAGCATTTTGTGATATTCAGCAATATTTACATGCATTTGCAATTAACCAGACAAACATTTTAACATTTAATTTAACAGTTTGAATTAAAATTACTAATAATAGTTTTATATAATACTGACAATTAAATAGGTTTCTGGTAAAACTGATTTTTGATAAGCAATAACTTCAGCAAAAACTGGAAATTTGTTTTCAAAACTAGTTTTGAACAGCCAGTGAAAGCAGTGTCATTATTACAATATCATTTTTATTTACTTGTCTTTTTTGACTTAGCAGTAAAATATGCTTGGTCTTAAGATGATTCCACATATCTGATGTACTACTATCAAAAAATTTCAGTAAAATGCTATAATTTGTTTACTGCACCAGTTTACCATCCATGATTTTTTTAAATAACATCACATACCACTAATGTTAAAATTTGAAAATTAAAATTAATGTGAAAACAGTTGGAAATTAAACTTAAAATGATAGTTTGCAAATGCTGTTTGTTAAATACTTAAACTCCAACATTTATGAATATTAAAGAAACACTTAACTTTTTTTCAGGAATAAAATGTGAGGTGTTAGGTAGACATAATTGTGAATCTTGACTAATAATTAAGACTAGGAATCTGGACACTAAAAATCATATAAATAGGCATTAAAAGTTCAAAATAGTTAAATCAAGAGACACTAATACTGAAAATAGGCTATTAAAAAAACCTCAATGTTAATCAAACTGATTCAAAGCATAATATACTATAATTTATATATACAAATTTGTGTAAACAATAGTAATTTGTTTTACATTTTCATTCATAAAATTTTTGTTACATTGTTTAATTTTAAAAATAATAAAAATAGGGCAATTTACTCTAAAAAATCTATATTTATTTTACTGTATGTTTTTCAAAATCATTTTTGCATTACAATGTGATTGTGATAAACTACATGCACTTTTTCCAAATTACTCTGTGGAAAAGTTCTCTTATCTCCTGAAATACTTTTTAAATGAGAACTCCTCTCTACATTACAAGATGCTGGTAAAACTGATTAACTGATTTTTGATAAGCAATAGCTTCAGCAACATACTTGAATTCATCAGTTTTCACTTGGAGAGTGTTGAAGGTCTGTTATATGCAAATTCCAGGTGGACTCCCACATCTTAGCATAAATGTGTGATTTAATTAAACAGTTGTGAAATTTAACATATTATAGATATGTGAGATTTTATCCTTTGTTTAGAGTATTACTTTAAATTCTATACTTCACAACTTGTTTGAATAAAATCAAATTGTAATGTCTTTGGATAAAAAGCATACCAGACATATTTTGTTTTATAATTTTTGAATAGGATTTAACACCATACAAACAGTAAAAACAATTGTAATGTGTATGGGGAAGGTACTCCTAGATTTCAAACATGTCAAATGTGGCTTAGAAAGTTCTGTTTGGGAAATTTTGAATTAAAGGCTACAAAATGTATGGGGGCATCCAAAATCTGTTTACAAAGAAAAA